GAAGCCAACGAGGAGAAGAAGGAGAAGGCTTCAGCAAGCAAAGATGGCAAGAACTTGGAGAAGAAGCCAAAAGATGAGAAGGAAAAAGGAGGAAAGAAGGAGGATGCAGAGAAGAGCAAAGAGAAGCAAGACAACAAGACCAAAGAGAAGACTGCTGCACACAAGAAGGCGAAGACCTCAGAGGAGAATGAAGAGGTAGCCAAGACACACGAGAAGAAGGGAAGTGAAGATGGCAAGCGCAAGAGCGATTGTACATCACTAGTGTTGGTCTCAAGTGAAGAACCTCTAGACAAGCGTTCAAAAAAGTCGGCCATTAAAGATGATGAACGTGATATCAAAAGAACCAACGGTGGGCCAACTGGGTCAAGCCCAGAAAAGAAAAAGTTGCGCTTTTCAGACTGTGAGGCTGGGTGTCCCTGCTCATACTAAGCGAAACACACAATGTTTTGGACACTTGGTCGCCCCCGCCAGACGCCCCCCCCCAGAAACCTCCCTTGCCCTGCTAGGACGGCGACCTCTCCAGCGCTGATGGTGTCTCGCCCAAGGCACCTCTGGAGCGGGTGAAAACGATGCCGAGCTTTGATGTGCTAACCAGTCCCGCGGGAACCACCACAGCTTCAACACCTTCTGGCACTCCAGGGTTGGAGGAGGAGGGGCCACCGATCATGGTTGTTGTTTTATCCACCAATGCTGTGTGCATGTTTTCACAATAGTACCGACATGAATTAAAATAGTCTTGGTCGGACACCCTTGCGCAGGAGGAGCGGTTGAAGTCAAACAAGTGTACCAAGGGCCAGCCTCGCATTAGCACCTTGAGTGAGGATGCCAAAGCCAAGATTGAATCGATGGCCAGTCCGTCCGAACTACAGCGGGATGAGCGCAAGCGACAGTACAGTGCACTGCGCCGGGCTATCATCAAATCATGCAGCCCATCCTTGCTGGCCAAATTCAGCCTCTGCCCGGATGGGGAGAGGTTGGGTGTGGTGTTTTTTCAATTGCATACCCCCATACCATATCCACCTACAGACCCTGCCATACCCTTCCCTGCCAGGTTTACGATGCTGAAACAGTTCATGCTGGCGGACGGCAAGGTAGACACCATAGAAGTTGAAGAGCGATACGTCCGTTGGACGGAGCAGCTTCGCAGCGATCGCTACGTGACCGTTCCTAGCCCCAATGTATAACTAATTTTTTCAGGTGATCAATGCACAGTGAATTCCTGTACAAATGATGGGGGGTACCCTCAAAAATATCCTATACACTCAGGTCACAAAGCTACAGCTCTACAAAGTATATGGCCGTTCGAAGGAGGCCAAGGCTTTTGTGGAAGAACTTTGCAAGGGTTCCTGGGCTTGAAACTCCATTGGTCCTCTCCATTGTTCAATCCATCGAAAACCTGCTTTGAACCCATGCATGAATTATAGATCGACTTCCGTTAACGTTATATATAAATACAGAACTCAGGTCAACCAGGCATTCCTCACCCTCAAGTACCTTCTCAGAAGATGTATAAGGTGTTGAAGGAGGTGGCAGAGAATACCACCACTGGGTGCCGAAGTGACACCACGATGTCCGTCGGAGGGAGAATCAAGGACCCGGCCTTGAAGTCGATGCTGGCAAAGCAATTGAATGTTGGCCTAGGCGCACTCGAGAGCCAACAGTTGATGGATCTCAAGACTGGGAAGATCGTTTCGAAAAAAGAGAAAAAACCAAAGTCTCCAGAGCAAATGGCTCTTACTGAAGCCAAGGTCCTAAGCGGGAAGTCCCTTGGCCTTTTGACCCTGTTCTAATCTACACCACTTTGTTTCCAAAACCCAAATCCATCCCAGGTGGAAGAAGATTATCAACGATCTACCCACCTGTATCGAAGACATGGACAAATATGGTGTCCGGAACTCTTCCGAATTGGCTTCTTGGATTTCTTAGTTGGGTCCCTGGGTGGTCAAAGATGTCTTAAAGGTTATATTCTGACCTTTCCGCTACCCGGGCCTTCTTAGGTTGATGCTTTGAGACGCCATGAGTTGGAAGTGGTGGGGCCTTCCGAAGCAGCTATTCAGAAGGCCAACACCCCTCTTTCCGATGTAGATGCTGCAGCTTTGCAAGAGTGGGTTGATTCCCAAAAGCCCCTTTTGAATCGAATTGAGGGCGACGTCAGGGATTCGAAGCGGCGCATTGCTGCTGTCAAAGCACCCAAGCGTAAGGCCAAGGTGGAAGAGCCACAGCCTTCCGATGGCAGCCAGTCTGATGGGGGAATGTCTGATGAGGGAAACTGAGTGGAAAGCCTAGGCTGGCTTATAGGATCCTTTACTTAAGATCTTTAAAGTATATATGCCTGCCATTAGCAGCTGTCTACTCGATATCCAAACATGTATATATAGAGAGCCATGAACTAGAACCGTTGTTTGCGCAGCTCCTCAATCAAGAAGTTCAATGTCGTAGACCACATCAGGCATCTGTCAGCTCTGGCTGAAAGCGTGATCTTCCCGCTTGCTAATTCAACAGATCGCAGATCGATCCTTGGCTGTAAGCCTGCGTCGCCTGGGACTCCTGATAGGAATCCTGGTGTATGGCGTATGGGGGCCACTCTGCGGCTCTCCAAGAGCCCCAAGTCTATGACTGTCGACCATGTCAGCCCAGAGCTTGTGCAAGTTCTATCGAAGAGCACTGGCCCAATCAACAAAGTTGTCTTTGACGTCTTCATTTTGGAGCCTCACTGGGCCCTCTGCTTCTGAGTCGTTTGCGCTGCGCCTCTTGGGCCTTGTGCAGCTGCTTGCACTGTGGCTCTTGAGCCTTGTGCAGCTCGTGGTATTTGTCCAACAGCACATGTTGGAACATAGACCTGCTTTCTGAGTTGTTTGCGCTGCGCCTCTTGGGCCTTGTGCAGCTCTTGGTATTTGTCCAAAAGCAGCTTTTGGACCATAGATCTGCCCTGGAACACACAGGGCTGGCACATAGTTTGCCATAGATCATCAGTGGCGCAAAGTCACTGGTGAGCGGCAGCTCAAGTTTCAAGATGTTCGGGGATCACGATCCAATCTTGATCGTGCTGGGGATTTGCGAAATAGGTTTTTCTGCTCTAGAAGGTCTAAAAAGTTTTTCCAATTTGTTCAGACAACTCGAATGTTTGGACCATGTGCCTGTTGTACTTTGAGTCACTCTTACTTGCGCGCCGACGTTCTTCAGTGGGGTTGCTCAAGGGGAGTCGAGCAACGCGGGGATTTGTGCAAGGAGTCAGTGAGTGGCCATCCTTGCACCATGGATTTAGTAGAAGAAGTCCTGGAGCTCACACGAAGAGTCTTTTGAATGCATCGATATACTTATGATCGATACCAGTAAATGTTTGCAGAAACAAGCGCGCACGGCTAGGTGAGTGTCTCCGATATTGTGAGATTGCTGTCTGCTGTCAAGAGACGATTCCCGAGACGGCTTCTTCCGTTCCTTTTCTTAATTGACATTGGTCGCAGGTACTGTTGAACTTGAATCGGAAAACGAAACGCAAGGGTTTTTTCATATTTGTTAGTGTTGCGCTTCGCTTAGGCCCAACCTTCGAGACCTACTTCATGTGCACAAAGAAGGTGACAGGAATGGACCCAGAAATTTTTGGAATTGGTTGGCCAAACAAGAGTGGATTCGTATGTTGCCACCTGTGCGCGAGTACTCAAGCTGCACTGTAAAACTAAAAATGGCACCATGTAGCATGTGTGGCTCGTTTTTGGTGGAAGATCGTCCTTCAAGATGTATCATTGGAGGAACGGTTTTATCTTGGTACCTGGCATGTGCTACTGCCATCGGAAGTGTTGCTAGACTTCAACGACTGAGGTGTGGGTGTGTGTGTGTGTGGTTACATATGTTACAACTCAATGCGCGCACTATAGATTCTTTTGCGCTCCCAGGTTTGCAAGCATTTATCGCTACGATGCAAAATTGTTTCAACAGCGATTCCTTGGAGAAGAAGGGGTGGGACTCTTGGGAGAACAATCCATGCACCTGGTAGTAAGTCCACACATGGGTTCCTGACTTAGGCTATCGAACGATATTGGAACCATATCAGACACACTGAGTTTTTCCAGAATCATCCGCTACTATCTGACCCAGTGCTCCAGATGCACATAATTCAAAACCTGACAGCCTGGTCATACACATATGGATGCATGCGTGCTTTCATGCCTAGCCTAGGCGACAGATTTAAAGCGGGTGATACCCCTCATTCTGCACGGTGACGACGCTGAATGCCATCGAAGAAGAAGTTTCACAATAACTTCATATGCCTCGCTTGTAGTGGGAGGGGTGAGCCCATGGGACAATAGATTTCTTTTGTATTGCATGGACGGAGCACGCTCGTGTGATGCTACCTATGACGGGTTGGATGCATGGATGGCGTGGAGCTTCCAAGAGTTGATGAGTGGAAGCTGGAGCGAGACAGATCCTTGGGGTCGGCCACTTCCAAGGAGACAAGGGACGGGTAATCTATTGATTGCAGATGGGTACAAGGCAGTCATCGCTGTTCACAGGGGGGACGAGAAGTACTTTGCCAAGGCATATCACCTCAAGACCAATTGGTTGAGCGAGAGGATTTGCCCCCATTGCGAGGCCTCCCGTGTCTCTGGGTCCAATCTGTTGTACACACTCCATGGGCGGAGTGCTCCACATAGGAACACGACTTTGAGCCTTCAACAGTTCTTGGCGCTTTGCAATCCTAACAGTTGGGTTGCTATGGAGGGGTTCCACCATACCATTATCCACTTTGACATCTTGCACGTCTTTGATTTGAGCTTGGTTCCGGACGCAGCAGCCAGTGTTCCTGGCTGTGCACGTATGTATGTGTTGGCTGGCCTTTCAATCCCATTTGTTTCTATAGCGTAGCGTTGTGTGCAAGCCAAGGCTCTTATGGAATTGTCTGAGACCTCTGATGTGTGGCCTGGAGCCAACCAGGATGCACGTCTTCGCGCAGCGCACGTTGAATTTGCGCGGTTGTGTCGCCAGCACAAAGTACGTGGCTTGTTTTAAACATCTTACTGCGCGCCTGTGTGCTCAGAGAGATACATATTGTGCCATGAGACCTTTGCAATTTGCTTAGGTAATCGTGGGCAGGTGTTCTCAGTGTACCTTAGAATATATATGACAGTTGCGCATGCATGCACTGTGTTTTGCCACAACTGGCGGAACATGTGTTGAGGAAACAAATGGTTGGCCAAGTCAAGCACAAGGTCTTCCCAACACTAGCCCAACGCCACTTCAACGGGGCAGACAGTGCCTCAGTTTGTTTCTTGCATGGGTGGTCCCCTAAAAGTGTCACATTGTGCTGCAGGAAAGTGTGATCTTGGCATGATATTTGATGGGTATCACTGTGGCTCATGCTGAAGCAAACCGAAAGGACCTCCATTCACAGAGCCTTTTATGAATAGCAAACATCGGCATAGAGTCTAACCATAGCGTGCCTAACTAGCGAAAGCCGATAGGTGATCAGCCTGTTGTAGCTAAGGATGCGAGCTGCCCTGTTTATCAGCGCAGTTGTTCTGCGTGACGCTATGGCCATGAGTCATGGTATGATACTCCCGGAGGAAAACCTCCAGCGGATTGAGACGGCAAACTACCTATTCCACGTATCTCTCAATTGTACCCTGGTTGGCTTTGGATGTTTATTTTTTACGTTGAGGCCCACTCTAGTACTAGTTAATGTAGCAACTTGAAACCAAGGGCTGGCAGCGGAGGCGATCAAGAACCAGCAGTGCAGATGGAAATTACGCCCAAAATTTGCACAAGCTGCTTGCTTACTTATATGCGTTGTTTCCCTTACATAAGTAAGCGTAACTGTACTTGCTCATGCTACCTTAGGTTAGACCACATATGTCTTGACGAAGCCCCGTTGGTGTCTCCGATGTGGACCAGCGCATACGGGGACGAGGATTTGGCTACATAGCTAGCGGTTGAGGTGTTATGCGTGTGACGTCACCACGAGCCTTGCATGAATCTGGTGTTCCCTTTGTCAACTAAGGTAGGTCGCATCAAACAGCTAGCAGCAATGGCCAACCCAAACCACTTGGGAAGGCAAGTCTTACGCCGGTATACGGCATTCGTGTGCGTGAGGTGGCTCAGGCGCCTTTGATATGTATGTTATATACCACCTGGGATAATCCCTGTCCCTTGAGCCCCTTGCCCTTGTGCCACCCAGCCTCTGCCTCAAAGTTGGCAAAGAGGTCGCCGAAGAGGTGCTCCGTGGATGGAAAATGGAAGAGGGGCTGAGATTGCATGGGGGCGAGAACTCCCTTATCATGAGCAAAATCAACAGTACATGTACCACAAGTCACCCATGTGTTCAAAGGTGATTATAGAGAGATGCTAAGTGACCTCTAGAAGGTCTAAGTGACCTAGTTCAGCTTCTTCTAAGTGACCTTTTGGTGGGAATAACTTAAGTGACCCCATAAAAAACATAAAATTTCAAAAGGTCACTTTGAAGAAGCTGGTATATACTATTACGAAAGCCAGCCGATAGGCTAGGCTTGAGCTCTTAGACCGAACGAAGTGAGTTAAGGGGGTGTGGGGGGGGGGTAGGCCGCGAAAAGGCACAATTTGAAAGGGTGAACCCGGAGCTTGCCTGCAGAGAGCGCTCCAAAGCGAGGGTCAGAAAAGCAGTGAAAATGGGGTCAATGGACGCCGAGTAGTGCATCATGAGCATCATCTAGGGCTCCGGTGTTCACTTTTCTTGCCTCGGACGGTGGGAGCGGTGAGACATGTCAGAGTTGGGCACGAACCTACAGCATGCACACCAAAACCTTGGACATCCTGCGCCCCATCGCTTGAGTCAAGCTCTCAAAAGCAAGGATATCGACATGAGTCTTGGCCAAGCATGCACGACCGGGCAATTTACATTCGTTGTTGGACTTCAATCAAAGAAGCTATATAGATGGTATTGACTGGACCGGCAAAGCAGGTAAAACATACCCTAGTCTAGTATATATTTTGTCGTATATAAATTTTATGACGGATTTTGGTTGCAAAAGTACTTGATGATTGCTTCCCAATGGAACTGGTTGGATGTATTGGGGCAAGTATGGTAGTTGGTTGGCAGCGACAAGTCTATCAGAAAAGGGGCCCGTGTAGATAGCAACTTGGTGGGGTGAAGAGCTTGCTGTTTAAGGATTGGTTATAGTCACGGATCTATGCCATATTTTTGGATCACGGTTGGTGACACCAATGCTGAGACATATAGTTCCTGCCATCCTCCTATACATCCTGTCCGAGAAGTCTGGTTGGATGTATTGGGGCAAGTATG